GTCTGTAGAGTATGTAAATTAAGTACCGTAAGTCTAATACAGTACTGTAATTTTATACATTTCTTGTGAAAGAAACATTTCTTATTCAACAGCCATAAAAATTATTTATATTAATGACGTCTCCAAAGTTCAACGAAGTTTTCACAGAAAAATAACATCAGAAATCACGGCCGCAGTTTGGTGCGCTCGTCCGTGACGAAAACAAGCTTAAGCAATGGCGACGTCGAACGGTGCACACTCGGTAAGTAATTCTACAATTTTTTGTTTATAGCATAGTTTATATGGATTATTCCCAAAAAATTATACGTGTTTTGGAAATGTTAAGTCAAATTAGTCTAGAATCGATTAATTTTATGGAAGAAAACCTTTCAAACAGCCGTAGTCCGTAAACTTCACACGTGTCGGGCTGTGATTGGCTCACGTATTTAAGGATTCCTACAACGCGAAATTCGTATAACGAGGAACTTATCTCCGCGTTATAGGGGGGTCTACTGTATTTATTGTACAACAAATCTAAAAATACCAACATGAAACGAAACTGGATTACACAATTATCAGGGATATTTAATATATATGGCTTTTCCATAGAACTGGTGTTCGATTACCTTATTAATAATGACCAACGAATTAATCAACCGTTATATAAAGCTATGGAATACTCAATAATCCAGGATAATGAAGATATAGAAAAAAGAAATAAGTTACAGTATAATGTTATTTTTAATTACCCATATATTAATAATTACATGTTTCTAAATCTCCCATTTAAGGTTAAAAAATTTTTCATTCAATTATGACTTAATCAAAAAGGTCTAAATATTGAAAATAAATACAGTAGAGTGTCATTTATCCAAAAGCTGGTTATCCGAAACATCCGTTATCCGAAAGCATTCCAGTCAGCAAATTTAAATTTTTGCCAGTGCTGTGGCGCTGTAATCTTTGGCTATGTCTTCNTTAATATTTAATTTTATCATATAATCTTAGATTTAAAAATAACAGTTCTGCCAATTTTTAAAAAATTTGTTGCATTAGATTCTTTTGTTTTATTTATCTTTAAATAATTTTTAAGTTCTATCTGTTCAAACATTCATTAAAACAAGTTTTATGTAAAACTAAAGATGGTTCAATGGAAGCCAAAATGTTCTGTATAAATAAAATAGTTGATTATCTTAAGTAATAAACAGTGTAAAAAGACTTTTTGTTATTTTAGTAGCGCAAAGATTTGCAGATTTCAAAAATTAAATTATATATATTTAAGAATTACTACAAAAATACAGAAAATAAACTGAATTCCATATAAAGTAAATTTGATACTGTATCTATATTTTCTAAAATAAGAAATATAAATTGCAATATTATGTTAAAATCTAACTTCATTAAATTAACCAAAATTTAAATATATTAAAAATTCAATAAATTCAAATTTTGCAATGTTAATTCCATAAGTAGAAAAGATTTATATAATTCATACACAATTATTATTTATGATGCTTTTTTATATTTTTACAATCTCCAATTTTACTAATGAAATACACAAAAACAGTTTGCAATAAACAAAACTTTATAAAATTAAGCTATTTTTATGATGTATACAGAATAAATAAATTATACTAATTTGTAATTTCTAAAATATTACAATCATTTTACAATTTTACTTACATACGAGAGGGTTTAAGAGTTCGATCAATCTTTGGAAGGGATATTTCACTACTTTTCTTTTCTTCGTCAGCAACCATTTGAGCAATATTTGGAGAAGAATGCGAGCGAGATAAGCTTCTTGAGCTTTTATCTGATTCACTTATCCTCATTGTTATTACATTATCTGTTTTAAAAAGTTAATTATTGAATATTATTAAATAATATTTTAATTAAATAGTAATTTTAATCTGTAAGGTCTAATTAAATAATGAGACAGATGTTATCCTGACCAATACAAATTCAATGTAGCAAGAAATGCATGCCTTCCAGTGTGTTCTGTAATCTGCAGTCTGGCAACACTAAATGACTCCATGCTAAGTGTGGCGGGAAATTTTTTGCTATTTTGCTAAGATAGTATAAGAGTATTGTATAGAACAGAGAATGAATACCAGATTCTATTTTAAACTTGGGAAAAGTGCATCCAAGATAGTAACATTGATGTAGCAAGTGTATGATATGTGTTCATCTCAGACTCAAATATTCAGGAGGTTTAATCATTCAATTGTGGTAAGGAAACCCTAAATGATAGTGACAGGCCTGAACATCCAACATCAACTCAAAACAAAAAACTCATTTCCAAGTTGGGAAAACAGATTCAACAGTATCATTGTGTAACTGAGAATATTGGCATATAACTTTGGTGTCAGTAGAGAGATAATTTGTAAAATCTTAGTAAAAGATCTGGGCAAGAAGAAAGTTACTAACCAGTCTGTATCATGTTCCTTGTACAATGACCTTATTTTCTATTTACAGCTCTTCAGTTACCACTGAAAAAAACATCATTTTCATTTGAAGATGTTAAAGATATCCAACAGACTGAGACATGGATCTCCATATCAAAGTTACCAAAAGATAACTTGCAGCAATCTTTCAAACTGATATCTGACAATGCCACTTGCTGCTGTATTCATGCAGTAGGAATGTACTTTGAATAAAATACAAGTAATGTTTAACTGTTTTTATTTCTTTTTTATTTCATGTCTATCTGTCTCATTATTTAATGGTTAGATCTTATATTAAGATAAAATGAAAATGAATATAAAACAGACAAAATCTTAACATCTTTCAAAAGAAAATTTAAATAATTTAAAAGACATCAAATATAAATACTGTACATCAATATTCTACGATAAGAAAAGTTTATTTTGTTTTTCCAGTTTTAGTTTTATTGAATCTTACTTTCAGAGAGCATAACATCTAACAATAGGTATTATAAATTACAATAATTTATTTCAATACTTTAAATATGTTATAATATATTAATAATTTTCAAATATAGTTATCAATAAATGCCTCAATACCAATCTATAAATTTGATATGAACTTTACTTCCTTTTCCATAATATGATTTACATCTACTACATCAGGAAAATATATAAAGTTTATGATGCTTAAAATCCTCAAAATTAAATAAAATATTTTAAAACTCAATTTAAATAAAAAATGTTAATTAAATAAAAGATTTTTAAACAATCTTGCTAGCTACTGTTCAATAAGCACAGTAGATATTTGTATAGTAGATGTATTCATTCAAGTTATTGCTTTGGATGAAATTTGGGCTTGCTTCTACACAAACTGAAATTCAAATGCCTATCAGCACTTCAGTTTATTACAACAACAAAAGCAGTTTTAACAAGAATGTGGCAATCTGAGAGTAATGTTGATTGTGACCTATTACTGGGGCAGTGTGATATTGCATCACATTGTACCACTAAATTTAACTCTAAATGCAAAATACAGTCGACCCCCCTATAACGTGCGTTCCTATAACAACAATTCCTATAACGTAGCGAAAAAATTGTAGCAACATTCATATAAAGCATCTCCTAAAACGTCTTTGCCGACTCGTTTCGCGACAAGATTGATAGAGTCTGGACCAATAGTAGATGAGCAGCCGAACTACTTTCCTCCAACCCTGCGCCACGCTACAGAGCGGCTAAATTGAATTGGTATCGTCTATACAGTATTATATATAAATTATATATAAATTAGGTACTGTACATATAATTATATATTAATTATATATAAATTAGGTACTGTATATATAATTATATATTAACTTATTGTAACTTTATTATAATTAAATATATAATTTCTGCCATCTAGCGTGGCGCCACGCTACGGAGATTTTTACGCTAACTATCGTCTGTCAGTATGTAAATTAGGTACCGTAAGTCTAATACAGCACTAATTTTATACATTTCTTGTGAAAGAAACACTTCTTATTCAACGGCCATAAAAATTATTTATATTAATGATGTCTCCAAAGGTCAAGTTATTTTTCTGCGAAAAATTATTTATCAGAAATCGCGGCCGCCGTTTCGTGTGCTGTTCCGCGACGAAGACAAGCTTTCAGCAACGGCGTAGTCGAACGGTACACACTTGGTAAGTAATCCTAAAAGTAATTTTTTGTTTATAGCATAGTTTATACAGATTATTCCCAAAAAAGTATACGTGTTTTGGAAATGCTGAGTGGAATTAGTCTAGAATCGGTTAATTTTATATAAGAAAACCTTTCAAACAGCCTTAGTCCGTAAAGTTCACACCTATTGGGCTGCGATTGGCTCATGTATTTAATCATTCCTACAACGTAAAATTTGATTAGTGTGGAACGTATCTAAGCGTTATAGGGGGGTCTACTGTACTATTGCCAGTTATGGCAAAAACTTCTATCAAATATTTGATGCAACTGATTACATATCATCAGTAAACCAATCATTTTGTATGACAATTCATCTTATTATGACACTGGAATTGGAAAACGTGAACATCCTCCCTATTGCCCAAGTGAATCTCTATAATTATGATTTGTATGCAATAATTAAGGAATCATACTCATTATCACACTGTTCTTGACATCACTAAGCAATAGTATAAATTATTGCAGACATTCATGGGAATTAATTTGCCAATAAAATAACATGCCTTCAAGACATATGGAAAAAGCTGTTTATTTATATGGCAAGCAATTAGATAAAAAGAATGTGGCTAGTACATGAGTATAGGACAATATATAATAAGTTTATATGACATTGCCATTATTAAAAATCCAATCCTTTTATATATATANATTGATATATATATATAAAAGAAAGTTTTCTTAAAAGTTTTATATATATATATTTATTGAAAAACTTTAGAATATAGCTAGTAGTATGGCAGCAATAAAGACTTTTTTTTTTAAATTTAAATATATAATTAATGGTAAACAACATATTACCTGCATTATTTGTATAATCTTCAGAAGTAGTAATAGATTCATTTAAGTTGTTATTTATTTGTTTACTAAGTGGAGTTAATTCTGAAATTTGCTCTATATTATCTTTCTGCTTTCTTCTTTCTTTCTTTTTCCTTTCTTCTCTTAATCTAAATATTAATAAAATATTTATTAAAATTCAATAAACATATTTTATAAAGAATAACATGTATAAGAATTTTTTCAATAAATTTATAAAATATATTTTATCATTTATCATTAAAATATATTTATGAAGCACATCAGAAATTATATTAATGAAATAAATTCTTATTTACCCATATTTTTATTTATGTTATCAAAAACAGTAAAATTCTCCGATTAGTTTAAATTGCCAAACTTTAAAAAATAACCTTTACACTTTACTCTCTTATTCAACCAAGCAATTGATAATGATTTGATATTATTTTTTTTCTATCCAGATATAAATATTAAAAAGAAAGTAAAAACACACCCCACATTTCTTTATGCAGCGCTCGAGAAGCACTTTACAGCAAACACATCAAAACTGGCTTCTAATTGGCCAACACTGCTCGTGACGTCATTTCGCTATACTCGCTGCATAAAGAAATGCGGGGACACTGAACATGGCATTAACAGTTTGTTTATTTTTGCAGATGCTTTCAATGTACTTATGTTCATCATCTTCAGGAAAATGAAATTTAAAAATAGAACATATTCTAATGCAAATGGAACAATTATTATTTAAATTGAAATTAAAAGTCGTTATGAGAATACTCAAAATTCAATTACACAAGATCTTGGAATGTCATGCATGTGTGGATGGATATACAACCAAAGGTGTGATGTCAGATGCGTATCACTGTTTAGCTGTTTATATAGAAGAAACCACGTGAGATTGTTGCATGGCTCCAAGGTCGTTGTAAGGAGAGATTTCCATATGAAAATGAGTTTCTGGTTGTTGCAGCATCTGAGTAGTGTTGTTTGAGCCCATAATGGGTTGTAGTTCTGTTCAAGCATATTTTTAGCAAGCTCTGTGTACACTTTCCTTTTAGCACATCATCCTGGTTCTCAGCTAGGCAGTTAACAAGCATTTGTGTTGTGGCCCCAATATACTGTACCTTGTATTCATCCGATTATGGGATTCTCCAATGGTACAGCATACTCCCCTGATTTTTCAAAAATGCTGGGCTGCAATTTTTAATCATATTCTTAATTTATTTAATTTAAAATATAAGTTAATTTAATTGCCTTTATGTCCTTATATCTTACTTTATTCTATTATTGTCAACTGGGACTTAAGGACATAAAGGCAATTAAATTAACAAATTCTTTAACAATCAGCAGCCAAAATTCTGGTGAATAGAAAGATGCAACAGGTGGAAAAATTATCAGAAGAAATAGAAGCAGGGAAAACAACAAGTGAAAAATAAATAATTTTTGTTTTTGTGATTAAGAACTCCTCCTTTTGCAAATAACCGTGTAATTGTCCTGATAATACAATAAGTCCCAGTTGACAATAATAGAATAAAGTAAAATATACATTTTCCATCTCCAGTTAGTAGTGCCTTGCCCCTGTACACCATACTTTTGCTGACAACAACAGTCTTGCCTGTCATCTATATAGATTTCTTTGAAAAAAAATTTTTTAATTGATATCACATGATTTCCAGTCTAGACTGGAAGCTAGTATATAGTTAATTGGGGTCTCCTGCCCCTACGCTTTCCATATCTGGTCTTGACTTTCATCTAACATCATTCTCAAGATTAAAGGACAGACAGAAAGATGGACAACAGTGAGAATTTATAGGTCTACAATTTTTTAAAATTGCATCCCAATAAAGTATAAAATTTTTCTAATATTTCACATAAATACTATAAAGTTTTAATGTTATTGTCACGTAAAAGTTATCAAAGTCAAAAACAATTGCTAGGTTAAAATTGATTCAACGAGTTTCAAATGTTTGTGTCAAGTAGAACTATAGCAATAAATATGTTCAAGACTTAACGATTTCAACATAAAATCATTTAAAATTTTTTTGAACATTTTGAATGATATGAATGATGAAGTTAAGAACACTTCAAAAATATTTATCACTGTTGGTCAAGCTGACTTATTAACAATAAGCTGTTTTATTTTGATTTTTATTTTAAAAAGTATTAAGTTTAATATACCTTTCAACATCCTCCATCAGTTTCTTCTTTTCAGCTTCCATATGCTGTAATTTTTGTAAATCTTTAACTTCTTTCCCTTCTTCTTTTAATTTTTCTAATTCCTAATTTTCAATAATTTTTTTTATTAACATTATTATATTTTAAACATATCAAAATAAAATTACAATATTTAATATAAATAATCTCTTGAATTATTGCAAAGAAAGTAATCTGTTTATAATAGCAGATCTACTACTTCAGTAGGAAAGGATAATCAACTTTGTCACTATATTATTAAAATTAAAAAAAATAATGAGAAAGCAAACTCTTCTTTTAATCACACTTCAATCATGTATTAACCATTGATATAGCCATTCTTTTAACAATGAAAAACTTACAGACTGACTATGTGTATTATGAGAAAACAGTATAGATCAAGATTTTTCCAAAAATAAAACTTTTCAAATTCATTAATTGAAATTTTGGTTAAATTGATTGCTTAAAATGAAAAACGTTGAAGCTATGTAACACTTCAGCCATTAACATGCTGTACAGTTGAACTTTAATTAAAATTCTTCATAATTAATAATTTTTCAGTTTAACCTTGTTTCTTGTAAACTGTAATAGTAACAATAATCAATAATTTCTTAGTTTAATACTAATTTCTTTTAAATTTATTATTGTTTATATCTTTAAATCTTTAATGTACTGTATATACATATTTTTTATTCCTTTAAAAGGAATGTTATATAACATTTTATTACTCAGCAATTAAATAATTGCAAAATTTAAATTCCTTGAATGTTCTAGAATACTCATTTTATTTTAGGTTCTTAATTTTAAAACTATTTGTTGTATTCCTTTCTATGTTTTTACCTGAAAAAGATAGTTATGTATTATCATAAAATGTTCTTGTAACTACATTTGTTTTTTAAACTTAAAATTTTCTTTATTTCATCTCCTTTAACACCAAAAATAGTTTTTTACTCATACTGAATTATTTTTGTGTGTGCTTTAATATATTGCATTTTAATTATTGTGAAATTCTATGGATTATTGTTCTTTAAAATTCTGTGATATTTTTTTTTCTCCAATTCTAAAAATCTCAAAAAGTGTTGAATTTCAAAATTGGTAATTTTATTTTACTAGAACAAGAAAAATAAATTTAATTGCTGTATTACATTTATTCAATTCTAAGACAACACAAATTATAAAATACACTTTAGGTTTTAAATCATATTTAAGAATTTTTATAATGAGAAAAACTTTAATCAATTTTATTCAATTTTATTAAGTAACAACAAGTTTGAAAAACAAATACCATAATATAAGTAATTATATGGTATGTAGTGCAATCACACCACTAACTTAAACATGATATAATTTGTATTAAATTCCTTTTGTGTTTCAATGTAAATTGTATCAAAAGACAAAGTTAGAAGACACTTTTATGTATTATCTGTATTAAGAATTTTTCTTTAAATTTTGTAAGTTTTGTTGTGGCCATTTTTTATTAATTGTCTATATCAGCGCTGTCCAACTGGCGGCCCGTCAAATAATTTTTACGGCCCAGTTATAATTTATTAAAATTTACATATCTTATTGAAACAATAATCTTAAATATAATTTATTGAAATACCTGTTTAATTTGAATATTTTCTTTTTTCAATTCTTGATGTTTCAAATCTTTTGCTTTGGCTTCAAGTTCAAGTTCTTTTATTTTAGCTAACAATTCTTCCTCTTGTTTTTGAATTTCTAATTTCATACTAGCTTCTGCTTCATACAATTTTTTGAATCTTAATAATTCATATTCTTTTTCTTTATCTAAACATTCTTTCTCAATTTTAATATTTTCCTCTAAAATTGCTTCTTCCTTCAAAATGGAGTATGGTATAACAGTATTCTGAGTTTTATCAATTGATGGTGTTTCAGGTAATTTATTTGATATTAATGGCCATGACGGTTTCAATGTTCTATTCACAATGGGTTTTTCAACTGAATCAACATGTATAGTCTTATTATGTATTTTATCCAGATTTTCATCTAAAATTTCTACATTACGTTTCGAAGCATCAATTAGAAATGTAGAGTATGAGTTATCAGAAAATTTTGTTTTATCACTTATAGTTTTATTTGATTTTTCTAATCCATCATTTGATGTAGGAGGAGTTGAGGGCATTTCAATAAATCCTTCATCCAAATTAGGATAATCAATTTCAACTGTTAAAAAAAAGTTATTTTAAAACAATAGAAATATTGTAATATACATATTAATAACTGCATTATGTAATCTTCAAAATACACTATACTTAGCCCATTGTTGTTTAAATAAATGTATAATGATAATAAGTTTAGACTTTAGGAAATATCAAAAAAGTTTCCAATTCAATATCAATATCATTTTTAAAAAAAGTGAAATTAATCTTTTGTATAATATAAATAAAATTCTGTTTTAATTAAATTTTAGTATTTACAATGATAACTGTGAAGAATTCCAAAATTCTCAATAAAAGAAAACAAAAATGTAAACAATTAAAGATGGATCCTTTTTTCCGAAAAATGTATGAGATCCGAAACTAAAATTTTTTAATAAAAACATTTCATTTTATTTTATGATAAAATACATTTAAAAAATTAAATTTATTTGTATTTTGTATTATATTGTATTAATAAACAAAACTATTTTTGTATTTTTCACTTATGTAGAACCTAACCCTATACCTCAGTATAAATATGGGTTCATTTTATGCCAATTCAATTTGTGCCGGCTTTTGTAGGAATGGAACTGCAGTGTAAACTGAGTGCTACCTGTATATTAGTTTTTGTGAAATTGCATTAATCATTGTTACATGAACATTAAAGCTACAAAATAATTTCTGTTTTAGTAAAATACTTTTTATAGCATATAATAATAAAATAGTATTAATGATATTGCATTTAAAAAAAAAATCACAATTTAGTCATGTGGCAAAATTCATTTCAATTCTCTGTATCCAGTTATAATTATTAAATATAAAGACTCTGTTGAGAATTATTAAACAATTATTTATAAAATCATGCAAAATGTATTCATAACTATTAATTTTATTGGATAAATGGTATATATAAATTATATTTATAAATACATTATTATTTAAATTACCTTTAGATTCGGTAATTGGAAATGAATTTAAAGAACCAAGCATTACAATATTTGGATTTGTTGTATACATAGGATAATGAAGTAGCCAATCTTCATAACCACCTTCCAAAATTAAAGGGCAGCTTTTTAAAATTACATTGTTATCCCACTGTAATGAAAAAACAACTCATGTATAATCTGAAATTGCAAAATAAAAGCTTATAATGTAACTTATCTTGTTAAGTTTAATCCACGTGATTAATTTATTACCTATTGCAATTCCTATAACTATTAGTAATTTTATCTACTATCAGATATGCTCAGTGTTGCCCTGGCATAAAAATAACAACAAACCATTTATATTTATCTTAGCTTACAATTGTCATGTTGTTTATCTTACTTGTTAGTGTTAAATAAATTATAATAAGAAAAAAGAAAATATAACAAAACAGAATAAAAAAGACAAAAGTCTACTTTTAAGAAGGAAAAAAAAAATCAAACTTATTTAAGTTTATAAAACAAAAATAAAACCAAATGATCAATCAGATTTCAAGACAACCAGACCACTCTGGAAAACCCCCAAGTATATGTGTATGCTTGCTAAGAATGTAATACTTGGAGAATACAGAATGACACAATCTCATTAGTCTGGTAGACAGGAATTGATGTTTTCCAACATTAAACAGTTGTTGATTTCTGCATGCATGAAAAGATAATTCAAGACATCCAAATTATTTTGGTACTCTTCGGTTAATGGGACGCCAGTCATTTTCACTACTTTTTTAGCAAAAGCACTACTTTATTTCATATGTATATAATACTTTATTTATTATGTATAAAATACATAATAAATATTTGTATATACATAATAAACTGAAATAATTATTTATAAAAGAACATAAATACAAAAAAAGTTTTCTATGAATTTAAAGAATTAAAAAAAAACCATTCTGAAAACATTTGCCTTATCATACTGGTAACATAAACTTGGATATGTCATTTAATATTGCTGTAAACATTTCATTTTTGGAATGTTATCTGCGCCACATAAATTCTATTATATATGAATCTAAATAGTTACGTGAAGTTCCACAACGAACTTTATTCCTCCATTTTGTAATCAACCTTTCTATATTTTGAGTAAGACAGCCATTGTTAGGGTCCACAAAGTTATACTTATGGTTTACTTGAAAATGGTCATATCATGCTTCTACTAACTAGTCTTTTTTATAAGATTTCCATCAGTCAGAATATACTATGCTTCCTTAATGTTATTTTGAATTTCCTTCATCAATGTTTTGGCAGAACAATCACATACGGCTACTAAAAAACACTCTTTGTTATCCCAGCATATTCTGCCGAAAACACACTGCTGTGGAATAACGTGTCCCACATTATATTTTTTAGGTGTATATCAGTGTGTGCCATCATTAGAAGTAATGGAAGCACCACTTCCCTTGTATTTTCTAAAAAATAAATGCATATTAATTTTAATTATATAAAAATAATCGCACAATATTTTATTATAACCGCATTATGTATCTTATTACAAATTTCTATACTACACACAAAAAAAAAAATAAGATTGCTATTGTATATTAAAATATTAGTGGCAGAATGCAATCTCTGTATTGTCAGATTCCAAAAAGCCAGATTCGCGCATGCACTTTACAGAGCACCAACCTCACCCAGTTTAGCCGATAGAAGCCTAGCTAAACATTCATTCATTCATTAGTTTATTGGTACAAAATGTACATGCCCTGGTCCCGCATAGCATCACCAGGGCAAGAATACAAAATTAGTAAGTTTACAATGTATACTTATAGTACATTAAAAAGATAAAAATAATAAGAGTGGTAACAGAGTAATACATTGCAATTCGCGTGTAGTATAACAAAAACAAAAACTATTTACAGTATTATTTACAGTTTGGCTATATTGTTCCTGGAAAGCGACCCCACGACCAATCCTGCCCCATGACGATACCGCAGCCAGGTGCAAAACTTTTAGGCACCGACGGTATCAGGGCTTAAACCCAATTAAGATGGTAAGGATTGATCATGGGTCACTAAAAGGAGACCAATAAGAAAATAAAACAATGATACCCGCTAGCCAACAAACTATATCAAAATTCCCATTTATGAAATTAAAACAGTGTTGCGAAAACCGAGGCACCACTTGTGCCAGAAAAAGATCAGCTGTGTATTTTTTTACAGCAGTAATTACAGATCTGCTTGGAAAAGTACTTGAAGTAATTGTAGACTTCTTTGTTTAGTAGTAACTCATGTGGCCTACAGGGCCAGGAGATATTGTAGGTATCCAGAATTACTATGAGTTCAATCCTTTCCCTTTCGAAGATAATACATTTATATAAGTAGTGGATAGGCCCATCTTCAGTATCACACTCCACGCATAAGTTGGAGTTCTTGTTGGCAAATCTCATCAAGTAGTTGGCAAATTTACCATGATTAGACATAATTTGGCTCGTATAGAAGTCCAGCGTGTACCAGTTAAAATTGATGTAGTTATCCAGGTGAGGAATAAAACTGTAAGTGATGTGATCGGAGTTCCTGTCCCACATGTCTTGCCATATCCTAATGGTATCCTGTAGAAGTAGTTTTCTTAGAGACTGCTGGCTGAGTTTACTATAGGTTATCCGATCATTATTGATGGTAGTTGCAGTTTTAGCTAATTGATCGGCCCTTTCGTTACCTTCTAAGCCCTGATGGGCTCTCACCCAGTTTAAGTGTATCTTGCAATCCGATAGTCTTATGTCGTTCCTTATTGATTCTGCCAAAGGATGCAACTTGTTGCTTAACAGGATGTTGTATGCAGAAAGAGAGTCCGTATGGACGGTAGCAGAGATGTTGGTGTAATTTCTATTAATGAATTCGATAGCCTTTCCAATGGCGAAAAGATCCGCCTGAAATACGGAACACATATTATCAAGTTTATAAATTTCGTTGTTAACTTCATTGTTATTATTATAAACCACGAAACTGCACCCAACATTTCCCTCGATTTTAGATCCATCGGTGAAAACATCTATACAGGAATCCCCAAGATCACATTCCAACCTGATACCCTGTCCGGTAGGGAAGAGGGTGTCCCTATAAGGGTAGTTCCATTCAATATCCAGCCTAGCTAAACAACAGAAACCTGGCTAAAAAGTTTCAGACCTTCGCGAGAAGGGTACTTATGTAAAGGAGGGAGACATGCCAACTTCCTACCTATCTGCCGGTAAGTCACCGGCTAATCTTGTACAAGTGTGACGAGAACGCATGATTTATTTTAATGTTATTTAATCTTAACTGTTGTTTGCAAAAAGTTGTATGTTATAATATTTTAAATGTCAATAAAGCAACGTTTTCCTTGTGGTGCCACTGGCGGGACAAGGATAACTGATCCCCGTAAGGGGAAATGATGATCATACAATGAAAAAAAAAAAATGATAGAAGCCTAGGACCTTGAGTGAATGCTACACGTATACCACTTCCAATTCTATCCGGGACCGGTTCTGAGCCGTTAGCCACCCGCCTGCTAGATATTTGGCCGATTATGTGAATAACGAGTAGATTTATAACATACCAGTAAATTCTTATCGGTTGGGTTATGTTTTTACGATAGTTCTGTATAGTTGACAGGAGTTTAAAAAAATCTATTAAAATATTTGATATATTTATTCCGCTCTCCGATTTTATATTACTCACGGATTTCAATGTTAAACCAATGATATTACAATTTCGCATGTCCCATCTTTAAGGGGATGAAGCAAGAAATGTGTACAATTCTTGTATAATGTTAAAAAATTAACCTTTACTTCAACAGCGTCATTTACAACTAAATTTAATGAATGAGAGAGATGCACCAGGTACAGAAAAAGCTCCAGAATTTATTTTCCTTAAATTTATGATTTATGTATCTGTTTGTCATAAAAATTTGTCTTTCCACTTTTTTCTCCGAGACTACAAATATTCGAGTACAAAGTAACTGGTTTTGACTTATTTCTACTTAAGAAATAGTTAAATAATTATGCGATTAGAGAATTGGGGACATAAACAAAACCCTGACAAAAGAGCCGGAATATTACTTAAACAAAAGCTTAACTGACCCAATCTCTAGCCGAGTACAGTGGGGACTGATTTCTTTGTAATATTAGACGTAATATAAACAGAAATTTTTCCACTTCAAGGAGAGTGACCAAAAAGTTGTAAATTTTGGAAATTTTCGTAGACACCTGATCCTAAAACGAATTAGTTAGAAAACAAATGAGGGACAATCTATTAGATTTAATATATTTAGATTTTTACGGCTATGGTGAGAAACGTTTAAAATCTACAACAGCCCTGTCGCGTCCTTTGACATATACTAACGATGCGACAAAAGAGGCATTTGACACTGACCGGTATCGGCACCCTAAGGATTTGGCAGTCCGCGTGTATGCACGCTCTGCAACCGTCTTCGATTCCATCCATTAACCACTCATAGGGAGCTATTTGACTAAGTGCATTGTTTTAAGATTTAAAAAGTAAAGAATATTTTATATTTTTATGTACGTTTCTTTGCAAAGCTATATTTAATTATAATTTTCTTTAAAAGTATATTCATATAATTGAAGAATATTTTGTATGTACCAGTACATCCACCACATATTTTATTTCACCAAGTAAGTTTTTATTATTTTATTTTTTTAATTGTAGCCCTTATATCGTGGCTAGCAATTCGGAATGTAATTGTGATATTAAAAATGCATTTAGAGAAGTCTATGGTTTTTACTGGCTTATAGAATAAACGATACGAATGGATCCTAGACCATCACTGACGTGCAATTGACTGATTGCCCCTGAATGTCGGCTTCTTACAGAAACACAGCTTCCCTATCATCAAATGTAATGGCACGCCCCTGGTGTATATAGACTTTCGTCTATCTCTACTATTTTGTTTTCATGACCTATTTTTATGTTAGGATGACTGATTAAAGAGTTTGAGACCTCTCACATATAGTTGTTCCAATCTACAGTTATGCTGGGATTGATTCCTAACTGCGTTTGGCAGAAATCTCCGGAGGCTATTTCCGAACACAACTGGTATTTAAACCGTACAGCATTCAAAAAGAGAAATATGTGATCCTTCAAACCAGTTTTTACTTCTAACACCCTTCTTTTCATG